ATATATATATATGTATATATATATGTGTGTATATATGTATATATATATGTATATATATATATGTGTGTATATATGTATATATTCTTTAAAAATGGCCACAGGGGGGAAAAAAAAGAAGAAGAAAAGTTGGGAAACTGCTCCAGATTAATGGGAACTAAAAACAAATGGCAACTCAATGCAATATGTGATTCTAGACTGGCTCCTGTAATGGAGATTCTTTTTAAAAGCCAAAAAGGATATTATCAGATAAATGGACACAAATGGAACACCGATAAGAGATTATTTAATAGTTTAATGGTAATGCTAAAATTACTGAAGTGGATATGTGACTATGTAAGATAATATTTTTATTAAGAAATACACAATGTGGGCAGCGCCTGCGGCTCAAAGGAGTAGGGCGCTGGCCTCATATGCCGGAGGTGGTGGATTCAAACCCAGCCCCAGCCCAAAACTGCAAAAAAAAAAAAAAGAAAGAAAGAAATACACAATGAAACAGTCAAGGAGAAAATGCGTGATGTGTGAAATGTGTTTATAAATATTCAGGAGTGTATGTGTATTTTCTGTGTGTGTGTATAGAGAGAGGAGAGAGAAAGGGGAGGGAGAGGGACAGAGAGAAGAGAGATGACATATGGGTTACCAGAGATTCTCAACCTTCCTAATGCCACAATGTATTTTCATTGTTACCATGGGGTCTCGACCCACAGGTTGAGAACCGCTGGGTTAAATGGTAAAGGGTTAAACAGCCATTTACCATCCATGCAACTTTTCTACAATTGTACTTTCTTTCAAGTAAATAACATTTTTAAAAAATGGACCACTATGTCATCGTCTTGGGTGGTACATGATTGAGATTTTTGGCTTTGATTCCCACAGTTGCCACACCACACCCAGAGCCCTGCAGTGTGCAGTGCCCACGTCAACACAGTGGTCTCAGGTTTTATCCCCAGCAAGACCCTGGGCTCCTCTTTCCATATGTGAAACATGTTGACATTTTAACAGGGTTTTACAAAATACTGAAAAAGAGCAAGCCCCTCCTTTCCCCGCTTTTTTTTAGTTACATACAATGTAAAAAAAAAAGGACCAAAATGTCAACGACTCAGCATGTAACCCCCAGTACTTCTGGTTTCCAAGTGCTTTCTCTGCTTTGGGGCATCAGTTTCCCGGACTTTCATCTTCCGAAACGTGTTGACTTCTGATGCATCCTCACCTGTTCCTGTCATCCTCAAGCATTTAATCCTTTTTTAGTTTTACTGAAATACAGTTTCAATAAACCAAATCACCCATTTAGAGTATGCAATTCAATAGAGCTGTATATCCATCACCAAAGTCAGTTTTGTAACATTTTCATGACTTCAGAAAGAAACCTCAATACACCTTAGCTACTCCTGCTCCTCCCCCTTATTTCCCAGCCCTAAGCAGTCGCTAATGTACTTTCTGTCACTATGGGTTTCCTGTTCTGAACATTTCATATGAATGGATTCATATGTGGTCATTTGCCTCTGGCTTCTTTCACTCAGCATATGGTCTTTTTTTTTTTTGAGACGGAGCCTCAAGCTATCCCCCTGGGTAGAGTGCCATGGCATCATGCTCACAGCAACCTCCAACTCCTGGGCTCAAGCGAGTCTCCTACCTCAGCCCCCCAAGTAGCTGGGACTACAGGCGCCAGCCACAACGCCTGGCTATTTTTTTTTTTTGGTTGCAGCCGTCATTGTTGTTTGGCGGGTCCGGGCTGGGGATTCGAACCTGCCACCTCAGGTGTACGTGGCTGGCACCTTAGCCGGTTGAGCCACAGGCGCTGAGCCTCAGCATATGGTCTTTAAGGCGCATCCATGTTGTAGCATGTGTTAGTACTTTAGTCCTTTTTAGGGCTGAATAGTATTCTACTGTATGACTAGACAACATTGTTTATCCATTCATTAGTTGATGGACATTCAGATTGTTTCTAGCTTTTGACTATTAAGAATAACACTGCTGGCTTGGCGCCTGTGGCTCAAGTAACTAAGGTACCAGCCACATACACCTAAGGTGGCGGGTTCGAATCCAGCCCAGGCCTGCCAAACAACGACGGCTGCAACCAAAAAATAGCCGGGCGTTCTGGTGGGTGCCTGTGGTCCCAGCTACTGGGGAGGCTAAGGCAAGAGACTCGCTTAAGCCCAGGAGTTGGAGGTTGCTGTGAGCTGTGATGCCATGGCAGTCTACCCAGGGGGATAGCTTGAGGGTCTGTCTCAAAAAAAAAACAAAAGAATAACACTGCTGGCTTGGAGCTGGCAGCTCAGCTGCTAGGGTGCCAGCCACATACACTGGGGCTGGCGGGTTCAAACCTGGCCTGGGTCTGCCAAACAATAACTGCAACAAAAAAATAGCCAGGCACTGTGGCAGGCATCTGTAGTCTCAGCTACTTGGGAGGCTGAGGCAAGAGAATCACTTAAGCCCAAGAGTTTGAGGTTGCTGTGAGCTATGATGCTACTGCACTCTACGGAGGGAGAGATAGTGAGACTCTATCTCAAAAAAAAAAAAAGTAATAATGCTGTTATGGACATTTGTGTGCGAGCTTCTGTGTAAAGGTATGTTTTCATTTCTCTTGGATATATACCTAGAAGAGGAATTGTTTGGTTATATAAGGCTTGACAATTAAGTTCACGAACTCATCCTAGAAAAAGTGCTACATACCTTTTTGCTGAGTATCACAATGGTTATCTCTGAAGTACTCCCCTTGGGAAGTGATGCACCCTTCAGAGCGATTTTGGAACTCTCTTTCTGGAATGGCCATCAGAGCTGTTGTCACATTACCCACTGAGGTCCTGAATGTCATCAAAATGTCTTCCTTGCAATATTTCCTCTGTCTTTGGGTAAAGAAAAAGTCACTGGGGGCATATCAGGTGAGTAGGGAGGGTGTGCTAATATAGTTTTTTGTTTACTGGTTAAAAATTCCAACATAGACAGTGCCGTGTGAGCTGGTGCACTGTGGTGATGCAAGAGCCATGAGTTGTTGGCCAAGATTTTCAGGGAAGATTTTCTTAACTCTTTCGCTATCAATGTTTATACTTGGTCTGCTATGCTCCTCCCCATCAGGTGACAATTTTGACACACAACTTGACAAATTTTTACAATGTTTTTGTCAGTTCTGCTCACTAATGGCCACCCTGACCTCTGTTCATCAGTGATGCTTTATCTCCCCTCAAAAAAACATTTGTACACTGTCATTTTCTTCATGGCATTATCCCCATAAATTTGGACTACATGTCCCTGATTTCACTGTCAAGCTTAACACAAAATTTATGAATGTTTATTGCTCTAGTTCAATTTCCAACATTTCCTGCAACAGCACATGAAATATGCACAATGACCACCAACCACCAAGACACTGGCACACATTGACACAAACACAACTGTGAGACATGTAAGACCAAAGTTACGAACCCCTACTGAGTTGTTTGTACAGTGCTACAAACCTAAGCACAAGGTGGCAAGTTTGCAAACTTAATTGTCAAAACATTGTATGCCAACTCTGTTTAACATTTTGAGCAACTGCTGGACTGTTTTTCAAAACAGCCATACCATTTTAGATTCCCACCAGCAGTGTATGAGGCTTCCAACTTCTCCACACTTAACATTCATCTGACTTTTCGACTGTGCCCATCCTAGTGGGTGTGAAGTGGTATCTCATAGTGGTTTTGATTTTTATTTTCCCAATTATCACTGATGTTGAGTATCTTTTCATATAAACTTTTACTTATAATGGCAATTGGAGAAGGTAAACAAGTATATTTAACTGTAAACACAATCTTCTAAATATTTGAAAACATTTATATAGTAAGTTGAAGTATTTGTCAGCATGTAAAGTTCTCTACTTCCGTATTATTTCCATGTTATAGCTCCTTTGTGATGAAGGACAGCAATATTATGCACTGAGTTTGTTCTGTAAAGACCACTGCTTGTACAGAGTGTATAGGGGAGGAATTCAAATGATTTCTCAGGGTTGACTGAGAGGCAGAGCAGAGCTGATTGTCCAGGCCAGTAAAGTTCAGTGTGTTTCAGTCACCAATACTGTGTACAAAGCTGTGGACAAGTGTGACCCTGTGTGGTCAATACCAAAAGAACATGACAGCATTGACAGGGGGTACAGCCCATATCTTAATCTAGGAGATGGATGGCAAGATTTTTTTTTTAAATTTCAGGTTAATGTGAGAGCACAACTAGGTTACAATATTTGTATTTGTTAGGTAGAGTCCTTCTTGTAGTTAGTTGTGTCCTGCACCCCAAAAGTGTGTCATATACCCCTACATTGCACCCGTTAAGTGGGAGCACACCAATCTCTCCCATCCCCCTCTCCCCCTCCTCCCAACATGAACTATTTCCCTTATATGGGTATTAGATCATAGAAATACGGAACACTTCATGAATTTGCATGTCATCTTTGTGCAAGGGGGATGATAATCTCCATATTGTTCCAATTTTAGTATATGTGCTACCAAAGTGGGCACAGTAAGATGTTTAAATAGACTTTTACACTTGAACCATAGCTTAAGGATGGGGTGCACCATGTGTGGTAACTGTGGAAGTTAAATGGTGAGTGCATGGAACCCTACTCTGGTGAATGTTTAACCGCTTTTGTAATAAAAAATCTTTTTTTTTTTTTTTCAGTTTTTGGCAGGGGCTGGGTTTAGAACCACCACCTCCGGCATATGGAGCCTGCACCCTACTCCTTTGAGCCACAGGCACTGCCCAATAATAAAAATCTTTAAAAAATGAAAGATGCCAGTACCTCATGAGGAGAGAAGATAGGGTAGTCAAGACAGCTGAAGGGGTACAGCCCCCCTTCAGCAAAGGTGAAGGTGAGGCTGAAAAATCTGACATGGCAGCTTAGCCTCATGTGCTCCCCGTATAACGTGGCCCTAAGATGGAATCTTCTTAGTCTGAGAACATGCCTGGGCCTGCGGAAAAGCAGAAACGTTCACAAAGGAATATGCTGGAGGGCCACGCTGGGGTCGTAGCTGGGGGCTAAATACCTGTCCAAGCACTGGGCAGCTGTACTTTGCTCCTTTCTCCTCATTAATAGTTGCTAGTTTTAGTTCAAGGAAGTGGGCTAATGGAACAGACAACCTGGCAACTTTGTGATTCAGCCCCAAGTAAAATGTTCTTAATTTGTATCAATTGTATATATACACATGCTCAGCAGTAACTGTACTGAATTGAAATCTTTTTTTTTAGACGGAGCCTCAAGCTGTCCCCCTGGGTAGAGTGCCGTGGCATCTCAGCTCACAGCAACCTCCAACTCCTGGGCTCAAGCGAGTCTCCTGCCTCCGCCTCCCAAGTAGCTGGGACCACAGGTGCCCGCCACAACGCCCGGCTAGTTTTTGGTTGCAGCCATCATTGTTGTTTGGCGGGCCCGGGCTGGATTCGAACCCGCCACCTTGGGTGTACATGGCTGGCGCCTTAGCCACTTGAGCCACAGGTGCCAAGCCCTGAATTGAAATCTTTATGGTAGTTTCTGTGATCTTACTTTGCTGTCTTAACTGTGATATTTTAAACTTTTATCAGATGTTTTAGAGTATATAAGAGAATCAATAAAGATAGGTGGTTGCTGAGTGCCGGAGTGAGCCTCACCTCCCTTTTCAGATTATTCATCTTGTCCACAGTGCTTTCCTCTGTGTCACTGACCAGTTAGCTCCGAGAACAGTAACAGACTGCTGGCAAGGCTGGGTCAGTCCATCAAGACCAAATTTTAGCTCTCTCAGAAAGACATTTTAGGATAGTTCCTGTGAGGACACAAACTTTAGAAGGAAAACTATGTAACAGGAATAAAAAGGGGAGATGGATACAGTTTTTGTGAGATTTCTGGTGGAAAATTCCCACCTAATAGTTTCTAGTTCCTCTGTGAATAGTGAGTCCAGCCTGTATGCTAATAAGGAGGCAGAGATGGCCTAAGTTTGAGCAAAGTGTAGAAGGTCTTAAATAGATTTGAGTAGCTTGGGAGAGAATGGAGTAAGAAAAAGTGACCTAAGCTCTCTTTGTTTTGTTTACTGTGAGTAGGCACCAAACAATCATTTTTGGAATAAACGAATGAATTATTTCCAGGTTGTGCGGGGTTAACCATGAGTGTTATCATGGTGCAAGTAGACCTGTGAGATTTAATCCAACAGTGATCACTTTCAGGAAGGCATTTCTGCAAATGGCGGAGAGATGGGATTTTGACAAACAGGAATAACGGAAGAGGACTGGATAAGGCCTATTGGAAGTGGAGCTTTAAAGTAATGATCATGTGACTGACCACGAAATTTGCCTTGACAAAGGAGGAAATGAAAACAAAGATTGGTGAATTGGTAAATACAAAAATTAATGACCTGGAGTTGAAAAAATGACAAATGGCATACACTGGAAGAACAGAGGGATGAGGTCAAAGGGTTTAAGTCCAGCTGTGGTATTAGAGATGTCAGAGGGGTTACTGATAAGCTCCAGGTGTGGCAGTAACTGAGCTGGCTGGAGAAGGACCCTCAGATGGGAAGGTATAGGAATTGAGAGGCTAGGTTATTGGCTGATCCATCCACGTGGATGTTGAGGCCTCCACTAATTCTCCACCTCTACCAGTTCCTCATCCTAGGCTCCATCCATCTACCTTTTGTCCTACCCAGAGCCACTCTAGACCCTACATTCTTTCGGCAACCCCAACCTTACGGCACTGCAGGGTTAATGGCATACATAACTCTGCATGTGAAAACACTAGTAGAGTGGGGGGGGGCTGTAGTGGACATGTTTTCTGGTCTTGCTTAAGACACCCCAGATTCATAATTTTTTTCAGGAAAAACTTAGTATCTCAAGCATCCTCTAGGGAATTCACCCCATCTTTCAGTCTCAGTCTATACTAGAGGGAGTTGCCTTCTCTGCAGACCCCTATTTTAAGGGTACCCAGTCTTGGCCAAAAAGAGGGTTCTGTATGGGTCTTTCTTAGACAATGTTCAGGAGGAAGCTGTCCCTTCAGTGGTAGGGTCTTGTCTATGCTGCTGTTTATAGGACAGAAAAGTCTGTGTGCCATCTTCAACTGGTATCAGAGGGTGACTGTCTAGGGGTCCCTGTCCTCCTTGTCCACAGATAAGAAGACAAGGGGGTGATCCAGGCTGGGAACTGAATGTGTTCTGATATTTTCTTCATGTAAAGCTATAGAGCTTCTTCTAAGGGGCTTCGAGATTTCACCTTTGAAATTTGTTGTTCTCATATTTTCTGTATGAAAAGCTTTAGAGGTTTTTATAGGGGGTTTGGAGATCCCACCTTTGGAATCCACCCCAGAGAAAAGGTTGGCTGACAAGGCAAAGTTAGAAATGAAAGCTGGGATGAGGCTTTTTCCAGTTAAAGATTTGCATGGAATCAGGAACATTGGGAGAGGATACCCCACATCACCTTCATATGAAAACTAACATGGGCTTCCAACAAAGGAAAATCTGGAAGTATTCAGGCAGAGGGCCTAAAACTGTGCCAAATTTTCATGTTTTATTTGCCTATAGGATTTTTCAAGAAGAGACATTATGGGCTTGATAGGATGCCATGAACTAGGCATAGTCCCAGAAACCCAACCCTTACCAATTTCCTCAATTTCTTGCTCACTAGTACTGTGACATATTCCAGTTGTTTGGGACCTAGGCTCTCACTTGAGGGCCTTGAATTATTCCCTGACACACTCAACGTGTGACTTTCTACATCTTGCACAAAGTTAGACTCCAGACCCTCACCTGAAGACCTTTCTAGGTCACTCAACAGGTGATCTTTTCAGTCATTCTCTAGGCTAAATCCCTGATCCTTCCGCACACTCTCATTCTTAAGTAGAAGCATTTCTGAGCATCTCTCTTGGAAGCTTCCAGATTGGCTCAAACCAAAGTTCTTCAGATCTTTGCTGCTCTGACCTTTATTTTTTTATGAAGTCTTATACACATAGATCATCAATACATTTACGCATATGTGAGGTACAATGTGTTGTTTTTTTATCCAATCTGACGTGGTTACATCTAATCTCAACATAGTTTTTGCCTCATTAACTTGATTATTGAGCTAAGACATTTATGTTCTACACGTGACAGATTTGACTTGTACCCTTGCAATATGCTCCATAGGTGTGGTCCCACCTTTTACCCTCCATCAAACCTCCCCCCTCCCCACCCTTCCCACTCCATTTCTCTCCTTCATCCTGGGCTATAATTGTGTTCTGTCTTTCATAAGAAAGTGTGAGTAAATATACGTTGGTTTCATAGAAGTCCTGAGTACATTGGATACTTTTCCCTCCATTCTTCAGATACTTTACTCAGGAGAATATGTTCCAGGTCCTTCCACGTAAACATAAAAGAGGTAAAGGGTCTATCTTTTTTAAGGCTGCATAGTATTCCATGGTATACATATACCACAATTTATTAATCCATTCATAGGTGTCGATAGGCACCTGGGCTTCTGAGCTATTACAATTGAGCTGCAATGAATAATCTGGTGCAAATATCTTTTTTGCAAAGTGATTTTTGGTCTTTTAGCTATGCTGCTTGTAGAGGAATTGCAGGATCCAACAGCAGGTCAATTTTTAGATCCCTGAGTATTCTCCAAATCCACGCCAACATCTGTAGTTTTAGGATTTTGTTATGTGGGCTACTCTTACTGGAGCTAGATGGTATCTCAAAGTGGTTTTGATTTGTGTTTCTCTGATGATTAAAGATGACGAGCATTTTTTCATGTGTCTGTAGACCATGTGCCTGTCTTCTTCGGAGAAGTTTCTGTTTAGGTCTCTTGCCCATGGTGAAATGGGATCACTTATTCTTTTCTTATTAATAAGTTTGAGTTCTCTATGGATTCTGGTTATCAGACCTTTGTGCTCTGACCTTTAGATAAAGAAATCCGTCACAGTCTATGATGACACTTGGCCTCAGACGTCTCAAGAGCTTCTGAGGACGTGGCAGTGACAGAGAGCCATACATCAGCAGGACAAGACCCACTGGTGTTGAATAAGCCTCTTTTGAAGGTGGAGCACAATGTTCTCCCTAAACTCACTACTGAGAGAAAAACCTCTGCAAAAGACAGAGAAGGGAACACAGACCCTGGAGAACTGGTTGACCAATATAAGCATGGGAACAGGGAGGACAAAAGTCTTCCTAAGAGTCCTCAATCACAGAGGGCAACCCCCACAGTCTCCTGTCCTGTGGTATACCCCATTCCAGGTGGTGACCTTTAGGCCAGACATTTATACTCTCAGAATCACACATATCCTCAACTCCAACTTATCTACAGAATGTTTTTGTCTTACACTAACTCAGATTTAAAACCTAAAATTCTTTTACATTTATCGAGTTTTATGAATACTGAATGGCAATTATTGTGTTTCAAAGTCAGCCTTTACTTTTTTTTTTTTTTTTTTTTTTGAGACACAGCCTTAAGCTGTCCTCCTGGGTAGAGTGCCATAGCATCACAGTTCACAGCAACCCTCAACTTCTGGACTCAAGTGAGTCTCCTGTCT